GTCCCTGGCAAGTGCCCCGAACTCTGGGTGCATGGTTCTGTCCTGACCCCCCAGGATTTTACTGTGCACCTGTAGGGCATTGGCCCGCCCCCACGGTCCCCTTGATGATGCTCCTGGCATTCAACTCCACCTGGCCCCAGGCACCTTCATTACAAGCCCTTGGCTGGTGCCACCATCCTGCCCAGGTTGCTGGCCCGGGGCAGTGGGTCTAGCCACGAAAGCTCGGGCCTGGGGTGGGAGCTCAGCTGTGTGGTCTCTGACCAGCCGCCCACCCCTCACTCAGGGTCTGTCTGTCTCCTCTGTGGAGCAGGGTGGGCACATTAGTACCCACCTCCCGGAGTGAAGGTGCGAGTCAGCGAGACGCTGTGAGCAGGGCCGGGCACCGTGCCTGCCCCTGGCCAGTCTTGGCACTTGGTGCGCCCTCTCGCATGCCAGCCCAGCCGGGAAGGAGCCAGAGGGGGCACCCACCCCGTGGCCTCTGCAGGGGAGCACCAAAGGGAGGGCAGGCCGCACCGGCGAGGCCTGTGAACTTGGAGCCACTCACGAGGGAAGAGGGTGCCAAGTGAGAGGGACCTCACTGTGCCACAGGAGACGGGCTCCGTCACTCCTGAGGGACGGCCGTGGGCACCACCACCCCCAGGGGAGACTTACGGAGGGGAGTAGCAGGAGCCGCTCCATGTCCCCATGATGAGGACAGGTGTGACACTGGACTCCTTGAGAGAAATGCTGGTCCTCTCCCAGGGCCCTGTCCCTTGGCGCCCCTGAGACCCTGAGCTCAGACTCCCGGCCCTGGGGACAGAGGCCAGGCAGCGGCTTTGGCTCTGAGTGTCAGTGGGGGGTGTCAGCAGGGACAAGGGATGCTTTTGTCCCTAAAAGGGTGTTTGTGACAGACGGAGTGGGACTCTCTTTCTGCCCTGTTCTGAGCTCTGGCTTCCGTTGTCCCGTCCCTGCACATTGCAGGCGGGGGGCTTGGCTCACAGGGGTAGAGGTGCCCTGGGTCACAGGGCTCAGCAGGCACACGTAAGGGGACAGGCCGGCGCTGGTCAGACTGCACCTCGAGGTGTCATTGGGACCCGGGGCTGGCAGATGCGTTGGGAGAATAAGACCCCAGCCCTGTTGTTCCTGGCTGTGTGACCTGGGGCACCTGGTCCCCAAGCTTCCTGTGTTTACCTGAGAGTGCTCATGGTGAGTGGTGTCAGTGAATTTGGACTGTGGATAGCACCGCCTACCGTCCTGCCTCATCCCTCTTACCTGTGACCAATGGCCATGAGTCCTGTGGTCACAGCTCAGTGACAGCCCTGGTCTGAAGGGAGCGGTAGGACCCACCCATGGTTGTCACAAAGTGGGCAGTGACTTAGGACGTCTGTGCTTCACATCCAGGTAAAGGGGTGCAGGCTGTCATATTAGGGAAACTGGGGCAGGATCCAGTGGTTCCATATGTGACCTTAGTAGCTGAGTGACATGCAGCCTAGGTATCTGGTTTGGGCTTGAAACTCTTGAATGACGGCCGGGTCTCCAGGGCGAGCGTGACACAGGTGGCCTTTAGGTTCTTTGGAGGGTTCAAGGATGTGGCCACACCTGGACCTGCCCCCACGTGGTTCCCACTCCTTTGCCGGGGCCATGAGGCAGCTGCCCAGCTCTCCAGCCTCCCAGCCCCGTCCTCCCAGGCCAGCCTCCCTGTGTCTTGTGAAACAAACCAAGGGCTCAGAGGACTTCTGGGCGTCGCGGTGGAGGGATGTGCGCCTCCTCGTGCTGTTTCGCGTCCACTCCGAGGACCTGGAGGCGGGGGAATGCTTCTCTTCCCCCGTGGACCTTTGCTGAGCAGTTAGCGGTTCAGAGGAGCGCAGGGACTGGTGGAGAAAGGGGCTGCTTCTGCACTCTGTGGCCTGCCGTGGGCACAGGCACAAGCCCTGGAGGCAGCGAGGTCCAACTCGGGGTGTTGGCAAGGAGCAGGCAGATTAAGACAGGGTGTGGTCCGTGCCGGCCGTGTGGGGCCAGGGCCAGGGGCCAGCACCAGACCGTGTGGGTGGACACCCACAGCTCCTTTTGTTTGATGACAAACAGGAACATAGTTGAGGCCAGGGACTGTGGAAACGGAGGGCATCCAGTCTCCAGTTGGCGGCCTCGACCAGTGGGTGCTTGCCACATGGTGCACTTCCTGAGGAGGTGGCTCCGGTGCCTGAAGGTGAGGCAGGTGTCTCCCAGGTGTGCAAGTGCAGCAGAGGGGTGGGGGCCGTAGCCCCCCAGCCCACAGCCAAGGGTTGACTTAGTGAACCCAGCCGAGGGCCCTACGCTGCTGGAGTGGGATCTGGGGGATCTGGGTCTGAGGCTGACCTGCCTCCATGCTCACCGTGTGGGAGAGCGGGTTCAGCCAGATGTGGAGGAGAGTTGGGGCCCCGCCCTGTACCCATGACACCTCCACGTCAGTGTCTGCCCGGGGGTCCTGCCTCCAGCCTCTGCCAGGAACCCTCCTCTATCCCCTGGGCCTCTCCCTGTGACTTCCACGCCAGGGGGCTGCTTCCTGGGACCCACCTTCCAGGAAGTCTCCCTCCACCTTCCTGGGATGCTCCTTTCTGTTTCCAGAGCATCTCCACGGGCTGCTGGGGGGGTCCCTGTGTGCCAAACGTGTCCTGCACACAGCTCTGCCTCACCTGCGGCTCCCCTGCCTGAGCTGCCACGCTGACCCTGGTCCCTGCGCCAGCCTCAGGAATTCCCGTGACCCTCTCTCCCCTCTGGGCCTGGATCCGGGCTGTCAGCTTGCAGATGTAGCCCGGTGGCGGGTCAGTTTCTCTTTTTGGATAACTGTCCTCTCTGCCTCCCTTATGTGAGTTTTCTGGGTCTGTGCCCTAACGGGGTCGGTGGCCCAGGACCCAGTAGCCGCGTTGTGCTTGTTTCTGGGAGTGATCTGCCACTCTGGACAGGTGCCCATTTTGTCCACCCCACCAGGCCTACATGGGTCTTGGTCCATGTGCTGCCACCCACTGCCACCTGGGCCCCAGACCACCCCAGGAGAGGGCAGCAGCCCAATCTGGGTCCCACAGCTTCCAGGGCCCGGGACAGGAAGAAAGCAGGCCACACCACCCTCCCTCCAGGCCCAACGTGGGCAGAGGCCTGGAGACAAACAAGGGGGTGTCCCTGGCCGGGGTGAAGAGTGCATGGCTTCAGGGGCACTGCAGGTCCTTCTGGGGTGTGGGTGTTGCACAGAGCAGACCCTGTGTGTCCCTGAATGCACGGCTTTGTCCTGCACCTAGCAGACCAGCCCGCGCTCTGCAGAATTAGGTCAGGATGCCCAGGCTCTGGACACGCCTCGTCGAGGGAGATGGGCAGGGTGACCACAGTGACCAGCCCAGCCCAGCCTCTGCCCTCCCTGTGGAACCCAGACAGCCCAGGAGCTTCCCGCCAGGAGAAGCCCCGCCTCCTCAGGGTCTGCTCTGCTCATCTGAGCCCTGGGTACTGCGTTTTCTCACCTGGGTCCTCCAGGGTCAGATGGGGCAGCATCTAGCCAGGAGCCGCAGCCAAGCTCTGGGGGGAGGGCCCGCCAGCTCTGGGCTCTTGGACTTGGGGATCCCACCCTGCACCTCTGCGTCTGCAGGGGCCTTGCCCTTGGGGCCTGACCAGCCCTCAGTCCTCACTGGGCAGGTCTGGCGGGGCCAGCTGAACCCGGATGGAGAGCTGGGGTGTCCCCCGACCAGGGGGGTGACAGAAGCACTTGTGTTTAGGACGTGCCCGGCACGGGGCTCGAGGGGCTATTCTTTGGCTGGGGTAGTGTGGCTGCCCAGTGGGATCCTTGGCCCACTCCAGACACCATCTGACTCCCAGCTGTGATATCATAAGTGTCTCCCGACACTGTTCTGTGTCCCTTGGGGACACTTACCCCAGTCAGAGGCACTTCCTTGATGGCATGATGTCCCATGGAACCAGGGAGCGGTGGTGCACGTGTGTGGCGTGGCAAGGGAAAGCAGTGTTCTGACGACCTTGAGGGACACGGTGGTGGGAGGTCAGGGCTCAGGAAGTGGTCTTGGGGAGAAGCTCCTTTGACATGTCCCCTAGAAGGGGGTGCTCTTGCCTGAAGCTCTAGGGAAGCCGGGGCTGGTGGCAGGAGAGTCCCCGTGGGGTCTGGAGCCTGGGCCCGGTGGTGACGTTCAGGCCCCTGCGTCCCATTGCCCGTCTCGGGAGCAGAGCTGAGGCAGTGGCCTTGTGTTGCACCTGTGGCCCGGAGCTGGGCTGACTGCTGCGAGTGCCGGACAGCACCGGAACCTTCTCCCGCCAGGTCTGGGGGAGGCACATTCCTGCGCCGCGGGCCTCCTGGGCCAGCTGCTGCCCCTCTGCCAGTGTCACTTCCCAGGCACCCGGCATCCTGCCCGTTGTGGGGGCTCTGCTGGCACCAACTGCAGCCAGCTGCCGGGGCCCAGACCCGCCTGAGTCAGCAGAAGCTGCCCGGCTTGGGCAGGATCAAAATAACCTCCTTCCTTTTCCAGCACTTGAGGGTTTTTCCGCCCTCCAGGGGAAAACACGCCCCTGCCAAAAAAAAAAAAATCTAAAAAATGAGGATTGTAACATCTGAGCCATCCGGAAGGTGTTTTCTGAGGCCTCTTGGTCAGGAGGGGGTGTGAGGACGTGGGGTGAGCTCCGGTGTGAGCACGCCCGTCTCTCTGTTCCACCTGTTTCTCCCACACCCAGTCCCAGGTTCCCCCTAGAGGTGAAGGGGCCCCACCTTTTGCTACAGGTGGCTGAGAACCCAGGGCAGTGAGTCCTTCCCCAACCGTGCCGCGCCCCCCTCGCCCCCCGCCATTGCCGCTTGGGGTCAGGTCCTGCACGCGGGTCTCACCACAGCCCTGGGCACAGGCTTTGAGCTGCGTCCCAGGCACACAGGACAGGGTGTCTCGAGATCCCACTGTCCTGAGTCTTCCGGCCTTCCCAGGCTACAGGGGCTGTGGGCATGCAGGGCCCTGCGCCGGCAGCCTGGGTGGCCTGGTCTCACGTGTCCCTTGTCCCCACAGCGGAGCTGGAGTTTGTCCAGATCCTCATCATCGTGGTGGTGATGATGGTGATGGTGGTGGTGATCACCTGTCTGCTGAGCCACTACAGACTGTCCGCGCGCTCCTTCATCAGCCGGCACAGCCAGGGCAGGCGGAGAGAGGACGGGCTCTCGGTAAGTGTGGCCTCGTCGGCATCCCGGGCCCCCATGGCAGTAGGAGGCCCTGGTGAAATGCCCTCTGTGTCCCCACCGTGGTGCTGGAAGGAACCGAACTTCAGGGACAGAGGACAGGGCTTGGTCCCCTCCTGGCCTCCGCTCCCTCCTGTTTACAGGAGTGAAGACACCTGCCTGGGCACAGCCCTGAGTGCCGAGGGCCTGGGAGAAATGGGGAGCAGGTGGAGGCAGGGCTGGGAGCCCCCCCTTGCTTCTTGAGCCTCTGCCATGTGCCACAGGTGGGACGTTGCAAGGGCCAGGGTGGGAGCAGTGCCATGAGGTCCATCTTCCCGTCTGTCCCCACTGTGGTCCAGGATGCTGTGCAGGGACAGGCCTGCAGGGGGAGCCAAGAGCAGGAGGCCACTGGGGCAGGTGATGGCAGGACAGGTGTTCGAGGGACATTCAGAGACCAGAAGGGACAAGCAGCTGGCATTTGACTCTGCCCAACAGGGTTGGGTGGCAGGAAAGGTGGCTGCAGTCCTACAGCTATGACCCAGACTGAAGGGATGGGTCACAGGCCAGTTCCTGCCAGCGTATGGTCACAGTGCCCTGGGGAGGCAACGGGACCCTGGGATAGACCCTTCTGGAGCCTGAGTCTCAGCCCAGCTTCTCCAGTCCCAGCTGGGCACTTTGGCCAGTTCCTGATGCAGAAAACCGGGCCCTGGCTCCCTTGGTGTGAAAAGGGTCACAAGGCCCACCCCCAGGACGCAGGTCTTCCCCACCCCCAGGACTCAGGTCTTGGCACAAAGTGAGGTCTCTGTCCTTAGTGGCTGGAAAGCACTTTACCCATTCAGTCCCTCAGCCGACGACCTGTACCCAGTGTGCGCTGTGCACCTGGAGTCCCCCTGGCCTGGAGGAGAGCACGGGGGGG